GTTGCTACTAAACCAAAAATCAGCTCTACCTGGGAGGTAAAGTGCAACTCACCAACTTGCAGGAGCAACTGGGTATTAAGGTGGTGCAGGTTCTTCCACTGCCTGCTTGTTGCTTTCTGTGGATGTCTTCCTCAGCTATCAGTAAGTTATTTGCTAAGAGGTAAAAAAGGTGATGATTATTGCGTGTACTCTAATATGAACATGTAAAGCTCTCCTTTGTTTATGACTTAAAAAGCTGCTGCTTATTGTTTGGCTGTCTGCATGTAGCAGGTCACCCTCAGTCTTTCCCCTCTGTCTTTTCCTCCCACCATCCACACACTTCTGCCTTATGCTATTGGTGTATTGGTGTCTTGCTATAACTTAGCCATGAAGCTTTTTTTTTTTTCGCAACACCTAGCTCAGTCCAGCTATTGTAATAAAAATACTATTCTTACTTATATGTTGGGACTTGTATGTTCTGAAGCAATCAGTTTGGTGCAGTATATTATAACAACCCTGTTAGCCAGCATTTGGTACTGGTGTCTCCTGCTGCCCCATAACTTCTGCATGAATATGCTCATTTTGGTTTCATTCTTTGTTCACTCTTGTTCATCATCATCTGGGAGGTGTAGGGGAATTTGCACTGGTCATCTAGCATTTGGGGCTCGCTCAGTTTTTCACATCTCTACCATGAGCACTTTCTAAAGCCGATACATTGTTTATAGGCTGAGACATCTATGGGGAAAGGCTTTGTATTACTCTGTTCCCAGTCATTTTGAGCCATAAAGAGAAGCCTCATCCATTCCTCTTTAAGGTTACTGCGTGCACTGAGTTTTTATGTCGTCCCCCCCTCTATTTGCTGTTGCATACACTCATTTCTTTTGCTTATAAAACACTACCTGACATGCGTCTACCTATTCTCCCTTCCCTTCAGCTAAAATGAAAGCCAGATGCTCACTCTCAGGGGGACAGTGTGTGTCATTTTTAGGAGCGCTCACTCTGGGAATGTTACCTGCCATATGAAATGAAGATTCAGATGAGTTCTGTCTGGGGGAGGCTGGTTGAAGGAGGTAGCATAGCTAAGAGTACCTTGCAGCACAGTGTTCAGAGGCCAGCTGGGAGACCAAGGGTGGTAAGATGGTTTGTGCTCAATTTGTTCCCCTTTTTAGTATTTTTTAGCAGTAACTCAACTTTTATTTTAATGTTTCTTACTATTAGTATCACATCAGTTTGTTCTGATTTCAAAGTCTGCGGGAAAGTAGGGGAAGAACAGCTGAAGCTATAAGATTTTCATGTTGCTTCTGAGTTTTGCCTACAGTTTTGATTAAAATCAGTTGATATTAAAGACTGTGGAAGCTGCTCTCTCCTCCAAAATGCAGCTGAGTAATGGAGTAATGCAACATCCCCACCACCCCCGAACCTAGAGCTAGACTGCAGAGAATTGCTTTTTGTTTACAGGTTTTGAAGCTACCCCTTCTCAGCTGCAAACATTTTCTTCTTGTAATGCACAGGCCATTTGTTTACTTCATTGCAGTGACCTGGTATCTGGGAAGGTGTTTCGTTTTGCGCACAGGCAGCTCCTTAGCATGTAGGTGTGTTGTGCAGTCATTTCTAAGGTTTACCTACATGGGCGCTGAATTCAAGCATGAGGGCCTGGACAATAAAGTATGTGTCAGGATTCTGTACCAAAACCACAGGTTTATCAACGTGATGGAAAATGATCTAAAACCCCTCTTACTAACCGTCTTACTGAACAGGAGGGTAAAAAGCGGGTTACAGAACAAACTACACAGAGTGTGGGTTTGTAATGCAACCTTGTTGTTGGAAAAAGCTGTAGGAGTGCTGCGGTGTGAGACTGGGAGGACATGGTCCTGTGAACATTTCTGCATGTGCTAACGTTATATGCAAGTAACCTCACTACAGCTAATGGGGATATTAAAAGTAAAGCATATGACTAAACTCTTGCAGCCCACGTGCTTCTTCCCCCTACAGCTGACACAGTGCCATGACTTGGCTGTGTTACCAGAGCTTACTGGAAAAAAAGATGAGAGTCCGAAGAAGAGCAACAAAAACAATTAGGGGGCTGGAGATTGAGTGAGGGGAAAGGTTGGCTCCTTAGTGATAAAGTGAAAATTGAGACACTTTGCAAACTGTACAGAGAGAGAAAGGAGAGGGATTGTGGAGAGGTGGCACCATGGGAATTGGCAGAGGGAAGAGGAAATTATGAGTAACAAGTGAAATAAAGACCCAAATATTTCAGGGCTGATTTGCCACTGATAGCAGTTAGCCTGGGGAGCTGATATTTTCTTATAATTTGCGACATTTTTGTTCTGTTTCCCGTCAGTCTCAGAAGGTCCTAAAGGGCATTGCTTCTGCCTAGAAATGGACGAATCATCCACACTTTGCAGTAAGAACATGCATGCACTGGCCTTTGTTGGAGGGGCTGGCAGGAGCCCCCAGAGCGTTTCCAGCTCTTCTGTCTGAAATATTTTCAAAGTGTCTATAAAATATTGAAGCCTTGAATTTCTTTTGGAAAGAATTTCTATGTGATTGCTTGAGTTTTGCTAATACAGAGTAGAGGTAGTGCTCTGCAAGGGGTTTGGGAATCTCTCTGTGGAATTCAATGGCAATGAGATAAAATCAGCACTGGAGAATCCAGGAGTCTTTGGGAACCTGCAAAATGGAAGGGACATCACTGATCCAGCCCCTAAGTTTACAGTTTTTTCCAGTGCAAAAAGAGATCAACAAAAGCAGAAGGAAACCAGGAAGAGGAGACCCCAGGAAATAGCTGCTAAAATGAGCACTGAGTGAAGAAATTCAGTTTACTGCAAACACCTTTCACTTTGCTGCTGTCAAAAGCAGATAAGGATCTAACCTGCTCCTGCTACAGGGAATGTTGCTCCATGGATGAGGGTAGCTGTGTTCCCAGGTAGTTCTTCATTTAGTTGTGTTTGCTGAGCAACAT